GCCTGATCTGAAAAAGTTATTATTATTGTTAATATTATTTGTATTATTATTATTATTATTATTATTACTAACAACTAATCGATGGAAATCTGGCGAGAGTATAGTCTGCTCTTTCAGTTTCTTCCACACGATGGTCTGTATGTGATTATCATTATTACGTTCACAATTATTATAAAATTACACCAGGCATGTTTTCATAATTGTGTTTCTTTGTCTAATTTTTTCAATTTATCTTAGCTAAAAAACTACGCCAGTTTATATTTTATAGTTTTGTCAGCTCCAAAGTAGAGGTGAGCATGGGAATAGGAATCCCATGGTTTTACCAATTCCCATGGGAATTCCAAGGCGGGCATCACGGGGATTTTCGGAATGCTGTCATAAATGGGAATTCTGAAAGGATCGGGAATGAAAAAAATGGGAAGGAATTTGGAACAAATTTCAATTCCCGCCCACCTCTACACCAAAGCAAACATACACCTATACGTACACACGTGCATACATACATACATGCACAACATACATACATACATACACATACATACATGCACAACATACATACACACAACATACATACATACAACATACACACATACATACACACATACATACACATATTATGTATATACATGCGTGTTTTTGATTAATTTCAATATATATATATTGCAGTTTATCAATGTGCGAAAATAAAATCATTTTTCTCAATGATCATATTTTATTCCTCTTTTATTTTACAATTCTCTTTTATTCTACAATAAAACGAACATTGTGAGAAAAACTAAAGAGTCAAAATAATAATCATAATAAAAAGAATAACAAATTATGAATAATTATGAATGATAAAGAATAAAAAACCGTGTAATATGGATGTCGCATGATGGCTGTCGTGTTTCTGACATCATTCGTCGAGTCGTTCGGTCTGTTCTGGCACTTCTGGTTCAATCTGTATCTTTCAAAAATCTAAAAATAATTATTTTCAGTCGAAGTTGGGGGATATGTGCCGTGATTACGTCGTTATGACGTCATAATTACGCTACAATTCTATAAATATTGTGGGGTAAGTTATAACTGGGAGGGTGATGACTTAAAAGTTATAAGAAAATGAATTACAGGATGAATGACTGTCCGACATTTGCGTCTATGACAATTACGTCATAATTATGTCATAATAAAATTAAATGTATGAAATGGCCTATAATTATATGATTAATTTAAAAAATTATAAAATTAATTACTTTCCGCAGCAGGTCTCTGACGTTCAAGTCGTCAAAATTGAAATAAATATCTATTACATCCATTTTCGAATTCTGAAGGTAAGAAATTTATTTCTATTTATTCGTAATATTTAAGTATTAATATTATTTAAATAAGATAATAATTTACTTGTTAATAAACTGATAAATTATTACTATTGAGCTAAATATATCTTCAAATGATAACCAATATAATATATATATATATATTCAAGCGCCTGATTTAATACAGTAGTCAAATGATTCTTTTTGCATTTGAACTCGGTTAGTGCAAAACAAAACGGCTTTTGACAGTACTTTTAGATATTCAAGTCACATTTCTTAATCGACTAATTCGATAGTTTTAAAAGATTCCATTTGCATTCTGTCAAATTCGGGCATTGCGAACTGAAGCGACTGGCTTGTGACGGTACTTTTAACATCTGTGTAACCCTTATTTATGTAATCTCTTAATCTAAAAACTGGATAATTAATCTAAAAATCGTTTAATTAGTCCACAGAATTTCGTAATTATTGTGAATAATTATAAAAAGTCATTATTTAATCTATAATTAATCTAATAATCAGTTAATTAACAGTTAATAATCAGTTAAAACCAACTTTTTGAGAGATTAAATTCTGTAGTACCACTGCATAGTCATAGATATCCTTGTACTTTTCCGTGTAGTAAGCTTCAGAATTTGCGAAAACATGTTGATTGGCGAATTTGAAATTTCCAACTTTGACGTAGCCAAGAGCATTAAGGTAGCAGTTGTTTAGTTTTATGTAGCTTTAGTGGTTTGTTTAGTTGGTTGGTTGGTTGGTTGGTTGGTTGGCTGGTTGGTTGGTTGGCTGGTTGGTTGGTTGGTTGGTTGGTTGGTTGGTTGGTTGGTTGTTTGTTTGGTAGGTTGGTTGGTTGGTTGTTTGGTTGGTTGTTTGTTTGGTTGGTTGTTTGTTTAAGTGTGTTTGATTGTTTGTTGGCCAGTTTATTTACTTAATCATTCGTTCGTTCGTTCGTTCGTTTGAATGTTTTCATATATTTATTTATACGTTTGTTCGTACATTTGTATTTCGTTGATCGATTGATTGATTCATTCAGTTTATTAATCTATTATTCGTTTATTCATTCATTCATTCATTCATTCATTCATTCATTCAATCATTCATTCATTCATTCATTCATTCATTCATCCATTAATTCATTCATTTATTCATTCATTCATTCATGACAACAGCAATAATAATAAATAATAATGATAATAATAAATAGGAAGACTTGTGTGTGATAAGTAGGGAATGGAGATGATTGAGCGCCTGTAGTATGCATGCGCTGTGAAATACGCAGTGATCTTTTGTCAGCTTCTCTTCTTTTATCAACTTTTTTAGAGTTCCTTCAATGAACGAATGAGTGAGTGAATGAATGAATGAGTAAATAGGTAAAGAAATAAATTGGCGATTGAGTGAATGAATGATTGGACGAATGAGTCAATCAATCAATCAATCAATCAATCAATCAATTATTTTATAAAGCGCTATTTCCGCGATGTTCAACAGCGCTCCTCAATGAATTTTGCAAACAGATGGGTCTTGAGATCCGCTCTGAACTTCGTAAGTGATGGAGAAGTAGTCAGAGAAGTAGGTAGAGAGTTCCATAGAAAAGGACCAGAAAAAGCAAAAGCAGATTTGGCAAAATAGTGTTTAACAGGAGTTAAGAAAAAGCGAGAAGAAGACGATCGTAAACCGGGGCGTTTAGGTTCAATTAATATATCTGTTAAATACTTAGGAAATAATTTAGATTGAGACTTATACATGAACGTGCAAATTTTATAAATTATTCTATATTTTATAGGTAGCCAGTGCAAGAGAACAAGATATGGAGATATATGAGAAAAGAAAGGGGCACGAGCAACTAGACGAGCAGCAGAGTTAAAAGCTTTACTTAAAGGATAGAGTATAGAGTCAGGAAGACCATAGTAGAGCGAGTTACAATAATCAATCCTAGATAAGACTAACGAAGTAACAAGAAGGAGAAAAGTAGGATTGTCAAGAAAAGGCAAAACATTTTTATTTTAATTTTTATTCTACGTTGATGAAAGTAAGATCTTCTAGCAACACAATTAATGAGTGAATGAACGTAAATTAAATTAAATAACCATACCATACTCCATATTCTCCCATATCAAAATGACGTGGCCCTAAATCGTTAAAAATTCAAAAATATTATTAAAAAATAATTATTTTATTATAACTTAATTATGACGTAATTATTAATTGGAGAGATGGTGTAATCATTTAGGCGTCTGATCTTACTGTCGAATGCGAAGAAATCCTCGCTATCACATGCAATGTATGCAATGTCTCGTTCATAATTAGGAAATAATTAATAATATTAATAACTTTAATAACTATAATTATTCATATGACTTCAATTTCAAAACCTTACGTGTGTTTGGTGGGAAGCAATGAGGTTAACGAAGAAGATGATAATATTTTTCTTAAGTCTCAACGTCCTCAGGATTTTCAACTCTTCGTATAGGGTAGCACTCAGCTCGGTTAAGTTCGCCTTGCTCCTAACCTCCATCGTCCAACATTCCATCGTTGTCTTCTTGTAGACGAGAACTTTCTTTCACGTTAGCAGAGGTCACATTTTTTTAAATTTAATTACGGTAAATAATATACAGAGTAGCGATAAACTGAACATAGAAACCGAGTGCCTACGGTACAAATGTAATACAATACAGGCAAATCTTCAAACACAACAAAACCAAACACTACAAACCGAATACCGACATACCGAATTTCCATCCGATTCCTTCTTCGCCTCGGTAATCGATATGAACTTATACGGGCCGACACCGACGAAACAGCACGGATCGGTCACTTGCATGATGCTGACGTATTTGTTTATGAGCGCCTGGGTTTCCTCAGTGTTCCAAAAGGAGTTTAATTTTTTTGTCGATATCAAGTCATCCGTCTCGAAAAGGTCCTCCTGTGGCTGAATTGGTTGGATCTCTTGGATATGTAAGGACTGCAGCAGCTGCAGGTTGTGGTGGTGGTGCAACTGTGACGTGTTCGGGTCGTCATCAGCTGTTTCGGTTCGATTTGATTTGAATCGATATGATTCGATATAATTCGATACGTTTCGATATGATTTGATATGAAATGATATGATTCGGTATACGTTTCGATACGGCATCATCGATATAATTCGAAATGAACAAAGGAAAACAAACGATTTGGGAAGAAATTTTTAGTGAAATATGTACTTCAAATATAAGTTTTAGTTAAAAAAAACACTACTACAACCACTGCTACTAGTACTACTACTAATAATAAAATTGCATTGAATTCGCTTACTCTAATCACTCACTCAACCACTTATTCACTCACTCACCTACTCACTCATTCATTCACTCACTCATTTACTCATCCATTAAAAGATCTCAAAAACTTGTCCTAAAAACAAACCGGTATCAGGATTATCAGCCTGCAGCACTTTTGGAGCCAGAGATGAGATCTGTGATCCTAACGTAAGCAACTGTAATTATGACCATAATTATACTTCAAAATAATTATACAACTATAATAATAACCACAATTATATTTTAAATAATTATATTTTAAATAATTATACAAATAATTATACAAATAATTTATGACGTACTGTTGAACGCTGGGTGCCGATTACACCAGGACTGGAATGAAATAACGAAACGATATTAGGCTCGATATTAGCTCCCGAATGCCTCACCGATGATTTGCCCTAACAATAATTATAACATAATATAAAATTATAATTATTATATATGTATATTTATTTGTTTTATTGTATAATTTTATCATTATTTATTCGGTCGGTATGTCGGTAATCGATTTGTATGTGTTTGGTTTGTCGCTGGTCGATTTGACGGTTTTTGGACTATCGATATTTGATACATCATCCAAAAGAAATTGTGATAGGTTCGATATATCTACGGTGTTGTCGGTCTTCGGTATGTAAGTGTTCGATTCGTCGGTGTTTGGTTATGTCGATTTAATTTAAGTCCTATATAATTTTTATACTCAAATATGACTATTTGTAATAAAAATAAATAGCAGTAGAATGTTCACATAAAGTGAATTGTTTCCATTTCTATTTAAGGCAAGGAGGTCAGGTGGTGCCGTGTTCATCACTGGAGCCATTTTTTTCTCTGAATTAATAAAAATATTACAGCGTGAATGAACAAACGAACGAATGAATTAATGAATTAATAAACGACTGAATAACTGAATCAATCAATCAATCGGTCAATCGGTAATTAAATCATAAAACATAAATAAATTACGTTTTTAATCAAATTACATTAGTTTATAATTTGATGTTTACATTTTTTAATAGTCACTAATAGTTTCAAAATTGATAAACAGAATGCTTTTTTATTTTGTCAAGTATATATTCGATTTAATTAAATAAATTTTCAATTATTTATTTGAGAATGGATTGAATTATACAGCATTTCATTGCAATAGTATTACATTTCAATGGTAATAATATTATATTTAAGTTCTACTGCTTATATACATGGGGACCATTATAACACGTTTCATTGTTTGTGTCGAGGAAAAGGAAGATATAAAAAAATGAACGCACCCACTCAAACTACAAAACTACAAAAAATGGACGGAGATTTAACCGTCGAAGTTAAAGGGAATAATTCAATTTATTTAAACGTAAGAATATTTTTTGTATTTGTTTTTAAATCTGTTTAATTGAAATTTTTATTCTGTGTGTCAATTTCGCTGAAACTCTTCCAAAAAAATTTTTTTCGCGATAAATGTGCTTTTCAGGATTAGTGAATTAGTGTACATGTTTTTTTGCGTCAGTTTGTTAAGTAAGATGATGCTAATCTTAGTTGGATATCGTGTTTTAATGGGCCGTTTAATGTACTTACTTAATGTGGTTTGTAAGAGTTGTGTTGATATTTACACTGTTTTAGTAAAAGTTTGTAAATGTAGTAAAGTAAAGCTAGGCAGCATGGTGTCTCTTGTATTCTAAGTGTTCAAGTTTAAAATGTATTTAATTAATTAAAGATTCTTCTTTGTTAGCGTACTTGTTAGTTTTCATACTTTCATTAATTTTTATTTCCAGGCTACTGTTGTCGATGTACAAAAAGATGGAGTAGTAGTTATTTATCATAAAAGGTATCTTTCTAGAATTTATGTTTTCAAATAATTTATTCAATATTTACTATTTGTTTTTATATATTTATTTACAAATTGAAATCTAAACTAAACTTTGTTTTGAAAAAATTTTTTCACTCCAAGCCCCCGACCAGCCTCATTAGTGCCTTTCTCCGACGTTAGACTTGCCTTGAGAACCTATCATCATACATTTAGTGAGGGTGATGAAGTCGAAGTAATTACATTTTTTTTACAATTAATTTATTTTAATTATGATTTATATTAATTAATTATAATTTATATTAATTAATTATACTAATTGTTTGGGAGGCCGGCCAGTGTAACAGTTTAGATGCCTGGTCATACTGTTTCAGTAGCAGAGCTTGAATTACTTCTACATGCACTGTGTGTTTGTGCTAGCTGAGAAATTATATAGAGAATTGTATTTTTTTCTGTAGTTTTTATTACTAAAAGTGTTTTTCGTATATTAAATTTTTTCATATTAGAACAAAATTTTTAAAAATATATTACTTAAACATTTTTTTTTTCAAAAGAAAAATGATGGTTATTCAATCTAATTCATGATTATTCATTTATTATAGATATTATAAAATATTATTAATAAATATTCAATGTCAGGTTTGTAAATACATAGAAAGTGAGCAAGCATTTGGTTGGGTGGATAGTCGAGTTAAGATGATGAGGGGGGAGTTTGTCGTCGTCGAATTCCCCAACGAAGAAACCAAAGATTCTAAAACAGTACCTGGTGATATAGTACAGATAGAGAACGTCAGATTTAAAAATACAAAGTAAATATGTGTGTTTTTGATTTTATTTTTTAAAAATCTATCGTTTCATTTGGTCATCTGTTGAGGTGTCAGTGTTTTGTTGAATTTTTTCAAATAAGCATTTTTTCAGGATATAATATTTAAAAATAATTTATTAGTTAAAAATATAAATTTGTTACTCTTCAGTCCCCCAGTAACGTCATCGACCTTCCACAGACTCATCATTGAAGTACCGCCTGATCTCTTTCCAATGTTAGTTTTTTCTGTTCTTCTATTTACTCTTCTACTTTCTCTCATTCTATCTCTTTCTCTTTACATCTTTACGTGTAGCTATTGCAAATTTTACAAGCAGTTACAGTTTTAAACATTAACATTTCAGCTGTAGAGACCCTAGCTCTCACAAAGATTTCAAACAGTCCTGTGCGGCCTCTCTCGTCGAGTTTAAGGAACAAGATGGCTCCCTTGTTGTTATTGTAAGTTGGAGTACATGCAAACGTACATGTTATCATGCATACAAACACGCTAACACTCCTACATACATACATACGTATACATACAAACAGACACATACAAACTTACATATATACCTTCAAAAATGCGACATACATACATACAGTCCCAGTACGAGTCTGTGGTTAAAAAGGCTTTCTTACTGTCAGAGATGCACATGAAGGGTCTACGCCAGAAGATGCTCCTGAAACAAAAAACTGAAGATGCTGTTAAGAAACTTGAGGTTGGATGATTGATTGGTTGGAAGTTGATTGGTTGAATGATTGGTTGGTTGTATGATTAATTGTTTGGACGCAAATTTTAAGTAACACTTCAAAAGTTTTATTTTAAAAATGATTTTTTTGCATCTATTTTTCTAACTTTTTTACCTGCACAGATAAATGCTTGCACTTAGAACACGATCCATCTTTTCACAAACCACATCTTGACACAAACTCTCGTGAAAAAACAAACCCTCATTCAAAAACTCTTGCTCAAATCTACACAGACGTCGAGACAAGCGCCTTCTAACTATTCCGAAGAGTTTACGGTGCCGAAGGATTTGATAGGTCTGGCTATCGGCAGTCACGGTTCAAACATTGTAGCTGCCCGTAAACTGTCCGGCATCATATCTATCGACCTCAATGAGGAACTCGGATTGTTTACCATATATGGGCAAGTTAGTATCGTTGTTGTTGTTGCTGCTGTTGCTGTTGCTGGGGGGTGAGACTTTTGGTTGGGTAGATGTTGTCCTTACGATGGCCATTTTTTTCTTATCATTTTATTCATTGTCATCTTCAACTTTGTCATCATTATTGCCACAACTATCTTTATCACAAACAAACAACATCATCATCACCACCATCATCATCATCATTATGACAGTCGGAAGAGGTTGTAAAAGAAGCAAGGGCTATGCTAGAATACGTCGAGGCCATTGTTCAATTGCCAAGAATGCTCGTGTGTTAGTTATTGTTCTTATTATTAGTAATAATGTTGTTATTGTTGTGTGCTAATTTTGGTAGTTATAGTAGTTGCAGTAGTGGTAGTTGCAGTAGTCGTAGTTGCAGTGGTGGTAGTGTCGTAGTTGTGGTAGCAATGGTAGTAATATGATTGATAGCAGTAGCATTAGCAGCCATTCTACAAATAGTAATGAGTTAGTGTTATTTTTTATTGGCGAGCTAATTAATTAATTAATTAATTGGTTGGCTAGTTAGTTGATTAGTTGATTGATTCAGTTGATTATGGTTGATTGACAGCAAAGATTATTGGAAAGAATGGACACATCATTCAGGATATTGTCGATAGATCGGGAGCTATCCGGGTTAAGATTGCCGGCGATAAGGATATGAATGAACCAAGGATTGCGGTTGGTTTATTGATTGATTGATTGAGTGATTGATTGATTCGTTGGTTGAATATGATAGCATTAGATTGGCGAGTCTACTAGACAAGTGATGAGAAATTTGAGAATTTTTAATCTATGAATGTACTAAATTGGCAGGCTCACTTGTTTAATAAATGAAAAATTCAAGAAACTTTTGATTGGTTGGGCTTATTTGTTAGTTGATTGATTGACTGATTGATTGACTAATTGATTGACTGATTGATTTAGGGACAAGTTCCTTTCATATTTGTCGGCCAGCCTGAAAGCATTAACAATGCCAAGTTACTCGTTGACTACCATATCAATCATCTCAAGGTTTGTTGTTAATTCTTTGTTGCAATGTTTAACGTTCTATATTTGATAATAAATAATATTTACTATGATAATTATGAATATTTATCAGGGGTCGAATTTGCGAATGCACTTATAAAAAGTCTCTGAAACTTCATTTTAGAGACACCCAGTTTTATGCCACATTCTTATCACACATTCTTCTTTG